CCTCTTCTTCTTTGCTCCTTTCATCATCCCTCGCTTCCCTGCCCTCTGGTCGGAGATCTCATTCCCTTCATCCCCAGTTCCTTGGCTTTTACCTCTTTCTGGCTTTTGCTCCCCTCCCCCTACTCCTGTCCTTCCTCTTTTTCGCCTTATAACCCCCTACTTTCTTCCTCTCACCTTTTAAGCTTTTTTTTCTAGGCCCCCCATTTTTTTCTTTAAAAAAAAAGGAAAAGAAAAACCCTTTTGCTACAAATGAGAATTTTGAGGGTAACTCTTCGCTAGAGCCAGAGACCTTTTAAAGGACTGCATCAGTGTGCAGGAATGGTGGTGGTGAGGAGACCGAGGTTCATAGTATTTGGGAAATCTGATCGAGAGGACTCTGTTTCAGTCATGTCACTCATGCCTTCAGTTTGGATATCATGAGGGTGTCTGAAGCGAGTGGATCTATTTTTCTAAGTCCAATAGACGACTGCAGTGAGACACAGTGCGGGGACGGTCACCAATTACTGAATGGGAATTGTGTTATCATTTGCTAAATATATTGTGACATACTCCGTGCCTCGGTGAACAGCTCCCTTGACCTTGTGCGGCTCCTCCTCCCTAGCTCTCTGTCCCCCTCTGGAATTTCCCCTGAGAGATCACCGAGGTCCTACACCCAGAAAGCTTCGACCCTTGCTTTTTTATTTTGTGCTGGGGGCAATTTCTATGTTGGTGACTGTTTAGATATGTTTCATGCATTTTCCTTTTAAAGTTAATTTTTCTTTCACCCCAGAAAGACAGGACGGAGTCCAATGTGAGAATGGCTATGACTTTGGAAGAAGCTCCGTGGCTGGGCTGGCTCTTGGTGAAAGCACTGATGAGGTTTGCCTTCATGGTCGCCAACAACCTAGTTGCTATTCCATCCTACATCTGCTATGTAATTATACTCCAGCCCCTTCGAGTGCTGGACAGTAAGCGGTTCTGGTATATCGAAGGAATCATGTATAAATGGCTTTTAGGAATGGTGGCTTCCTGGGGATGGTATGCTGGATATACAGGTAAGAGTGAGAACACTTTTGTTTAATGCATAAGAAAAAATCTGTCAGGAGCCATGATTAAATATATATTACACTTTGGGTTCAGGTTGCTTTCATGTCTTCACTGTTGAAAAAAAATAAAAAGAAAACAATTCTATTGGGTTTCTCTTCAGAATCTCAGGAAGAGTGATGTTTTCAGAAGTATAATTTCATAATTGTGTATTGGTAAATTTCAAAATGTTTTTACTGTGATTGGCATACATTGATGAAAACTGGTCTGCAAAAGCTCTGGTAGAGGAATAGGAGTGCATTGCATAGGACTTGAGAACTTATAAAGTGAAGATGTAAGATATTTCATCTATTTCATGGAGGATGCCCTTGGAAATGTAGAAAAATGATGGAACCATATTTGTGCTAAGATAGTTTAATAAGTTTCTTCATCATTTAATGTGATAGTGTACTGTTAGCATTTTGAGCAAGCAAAATGGCTTTCTTTTCTCTTATGTATGTTTTGTTTACTAGAATCTATATTTTATCTCATAAATCTGAGAGTATTAAATATAAAAAATAAAGTTAACTTTGTTAAGCTAATTTATCTTCTGAGTGTCTTTAAATAGATTGTAATTTCTGCCTTTAAATTGCATTTGGGGAAGCAAGAGTAACACTATTCAGAAGTGGACTTTTATAGAACTAAATGAGACGTGTTTATTTTCTGAGGTAAACCTTATATGCTTTGAGAACTTATGCCCTTGCTGTGAAAATTCTGTATCGTTTATTGTATTTATTTGATTTTTTTCCCTTAAGAATTAAGATAATGAAAAAAATCATAGAGATTTTTTGCACTTGTCAGATGTGGAGGCTTTTAGCACAGAAATTTCTACCTGGCAGGCTCCTTGGAGATCATGCAGATGCTGTGGTCAGTGGAGGCTGTAGTTCATAGCTTGGCAGAGTGAGGAGGGGTACTCCCAGGGTCAAGCAGTATGGTGGTTCTCCATTTGAAATTCTGTCTCCCTCTTTCCTACCCAGGCTGCACCTGCACATTTTATCCACACACACAAGAGAAGGACTGATAGTATACAGCTTTTGTGGAGTCTGACAGACTCTTGCTATGTCTGAGTGCTCTCAGTTGCCCCAGATGAAGCCTTTTCTCCTTCCAGCAGTGCCATTTATTATTATGCAAGAGCTGAAGCCCCTGGGATAGTGTATGCATTGATTCCTTGTCATCTGTCTTGTTGAGATTCTAGTGCTTTTTGGATATAGTAGGTGAGCTTCTAGCCCTTTTTTAGGGCTTGGTGGTAGCAATAGCAGTAATAGAGAAAAAAATGAAGTTCTAGTCTATGGTGCTGAATTCTTACCTGAATTGCACTGCTGTCTTAGAGTTGCTTGGCTTGGTATAGTTTGAGCGTTCCCAAATATATGTTATATGGTACTAGTGGCTTTATTCTTGTATAGTATACTTAAGTTTGCTTGTTTTAAATTAGCTTATAGTATTTTCAGAAACGTGTTCTAGAAGTTCATTCTGCTTAACAATGAAATTACTGAAATGTTTGTGCTTGTGTATAGTGTATTTAAATGTTAGCATGATGGGAAGGTAAAATTAATTTGGCATTGACCTTGAGATTAGGAGTGCAGTGGCGCTGCTTGAAGTCAAAGTTAGTTATCCTAAGGCCATAGCATTTTTAAGCAGGTATTTTTAAGCATATTTTCTTGGGGTGTCTCTTCCTTGCTGACTATAGAACTGTGTAATTTCTTTTGCCACCTGCTTGGAATGTGGTCTTGGCATGATCTGCATATTTTAGTCTCTCTGAAGCATCTGCTCTTCTTCAGGCTACTGAATTTTGACAATTTGATCAGTTTGTCTTATTTAAATATAGACTGTTTTAATATATGTATTTTAAAAGGTTTTCCTATAGGTAGAATACTTGATTTCAGAGGGCCTGGTCATAGTCTGATCATAACAGAAAATAGTCAAGAAGTTACACAAATATAGGAATGAATTTGGTTGAAAACCTCAGCTGAGTTTAAAGAAGCACATCTAAGCAGAGGTTAATGAACAGGTGTACCCATAAAACAATCTCAGGGGTTATATTAGCCTTTCTTTAGATAATGTATTTCACTTCTTCCCTTTACATCAATAGGAGGGTGGGCTTGTGAAGTTCTTTTTTCCCTATGCCCAAGTTTCACAGATGGAAAATTGAACATTGCCAAAGGAATTCTGCTCCGCAGATTAAGTATGTTCATGTTTTAGAATAAAAATTGCCAAAACTTTGTTGTAAAACCACTTATGAGGAAACCTTAAATACTAATTAGGAAGCTAAAAATTGAATATTGGTATATTGGTATAGAATATATATATATTTTTTCCAAATTATGACATTCAGTGTAATATGAGTGAATTCTCAGCTCTGCTGATGAGGACTATGCTGATTATCTAACCTACACAGCCCCATCAAAGTTAGTTATCCTATGGCCATAGCATTTTTAAGCATGTATTTTTAAGCATATTTTCTTGGGGTGTCTCTTCCTTGCTGACTATAGAACTGTGTAATTTCTTTTGCCACCTGCTTGGAATGTGGTCTTGGCATGATCTGCATATTTTAGTCTCTCTGACGCATCTGCTCTTCTTCAGGCTACTGAATTTTGACAATTTGATCAGTTTGTCTTATTTAAATATAGACTGTTTTAATATATGTATTTTAAAAGGTTTTCCTATAGGTAGAATACTTGATTTCAGAGGGCCTGGTCATAGTCTGATCATAACAGAAAATAGTCAAGAAGTTACACAAATATAGGAATGAATTTGGTTGAAAACCTCAGCTGAGTTTAAAGAAGCACATCTAAGCAGAGGTTAATGAACAGGTGTACCCATAAAACAATCTCAGGGGTTATATTAGCCTTTCTTTAGATAATGTATTTCACTTCTTCCCTTTACATCAATAGGAGGGTGGGCTTGTGAAGTTCTTTTTTCCCTATGCCCAAGTTTCACAGATGGAAAATTGAACATTGCCAAAGGAATTCTGCTCCGCAGATTAAGTATGTTCATGTTTTAGAATAAAAATTGCCAAAACTTTGTTGTAAAACCACTTATGAGGAAACCTTAAATACTAATTAGGAAGCTAAAAATTGAATATTGGTATATTGGTATAGAATATATATATATTTTTTCCAAATTATGACATTCAGTGTAATATGAGTGAATTCTCAGCTCTGCTGATGAGGACTATGCTGATTATCTAACCTACACAGCCCCATATAGTAGCCACTGGCTGCGTGTCACTATTCAGATTTAAATTAATTAAAATGAAATAAGATTTAGCATTTAGCTCCTCAGTCACACCAACCAGATTTCAAGTGCTCAGTACTAGGTGGCTAGTAGCCACCTAGTTGTTGTATGGACAGTGCAGGTACAGAACACTTCTATCATCACAGCAAGTACTATTGAACAAAGCTGATATAGTAAGCATGGTTTTCTTTTCTTAGAGAAACTAAATTTTATCTTTATTAAAAAATCTTTCCTTAGTTCTAAACAGATTTCTTTTGTAAAAGACAAGAAATTTCATTAAAGTTTTATTAAACTGTCTCTTAAGTCATCACAAAAATGAGCCCTTTAAATTCATACATGCTTCTTGGATGGGGAATGGTGAGGCCAGTAAGCCCAAGAACGTAAATGAACATTCTTGTACTTTAGTTTGCATTTTCAGAGCTGGGGAACTGTCTGTAGACACAGAAGATGGAAAAGGGATTTTCTGGTCTGTTTCTGACTTTAAGTTACACATTTTAAAAAGTACTCTGAAGACACTGGGGTTTGTTCATCCCTGGCTTGCTACTAAAGTAGTAATGATTATTGTTTTCACATTTTCCTTTTTTTTTTTTTTTTTTTTTT